AATTTAATTAAATAATTTATTAAATATTTATTAAAAATGACATATAAAATAAATTTCGTACTAATTAATCAGTACTTAGTCAGGCTTCTATTTGCTTTAATAACAGCCTAAATTCATTGTGATATACTATCGACTAAATTTTCGATAGTATGTATTGAAATTTCTCTCTATGACTTCTTAATAAGCTGCTCTAGTTAAGCAATATTAGAAAACATTTTTTTCCTTTCACAGATGCTTTTCTTGATATCAACCACAGATTTTTAATTAAGCTGATGTCTGGACTTGAGCAGATTATAAAAGAACGTGTATATTATTTTCTACATAAAAATTCTTCATCTGCTTCATATTGTGAGATTGGGAATTATTCTCCTGAAAACTACTATTACTATTTTGAAATATATTTTTAAAGTACAATTCATGTAAACAAGGTTTAAAGTGTTATATGATTGCAGAATTGCTAAGTTACATAAAATTGTCAATATTGAATCGCATCTAAAAAGTGGTGTTCAGAAACTTTTAGTAACCCTCTGTATATAAATTTTAATAATTTAATATATAATTTTACTTTACAAATAAATATGTATAATTATTTTAATATATATTTAATATTAATATCAATTAGTCTACTTTATTTTTATATTTTCAAATTATTTATATTTTGATCATTTTTAAAAAAATAATTAATATAATTTAAAAATTAATAATTTGAATTATAATATTTACAGAATTATTTTATAATAATAAATTGAAAATAAAAAAATGCAAAAGCATTTTTATTTTTTAAATCTATTTTAAAATTTTATCATATAAAGTTTTAAGAAAATGAATTTTAATAATCATTTTAAAATAAAATAAAATAAAAATTAAGACTAATACTATTAGAATTACTTTAATATTTAATAATTTAATAAATATTTTAAATTAAAATAATTTTAGTTTAGTTTTAATTATATTTTAAAGTAAAATTTTAATTTGAAAACAATAAATATTAGTAAAAAATTAAAAATATGAAAATTAAATTTTTAAAAACAAATAATATTTAAAGAAATTATGATATACAAGTAAATTTTATATTTATAATAGATAATATATTAAATTATACTGTTTTAAAATATATATATTTTTTTTGTTTTTTAAAAAAATATTATTATATTAATAATTTTATTAATATATAAACTTTAACTTAAATATATATATTAAATTTTTTTATATAAAAAATACTCTTGTTATAATAAATTGGTCAATTAAATCTCTTAAAATAGCCTTATAGTGAAGTTGAGAACTAATACATAAAGTTTGTTATAATAAGAGTTAACTATAATATTGTATATAAATAAACTAATACAGTAAATATAATATAATATAATATTAATATAATATTTGATCTTATTTTATATTTATATATTCAATAAAAATCAATTTAATAATAATATTATTATTAATTTGAATTTAAAATTGTATAGGTATTTTAATATATTATAATATATTAATAAATAAAATAATATATTTTATTAATAAATGTATAAATATTATATTAATTTTATAAAAATAATAAAATTACTTAATTTTATTATGTTAAAAATAATTAAATTAATAACTTATTATATATATAATAAAATAATTAATAAATTTTTATATGTAATTATTATTTATATATTAATTTATTATTTGCTAAAATGAGTTTTCTAGGTAATTATATTATTTATAAAGTAAAATATAAAGTAAAATAAATTTTAATTTATTAATTATATATTTTAAATTATTTAAAATTTTAATTTCAATATAAATATATAATTAATTATTGGTAAAATAATATTAGAAAATTATAGTTATAATAAATATTAAAATTTTAATTTTAAATAAATTTTGTTATATTATCTTTAAATAATATAAAATTTTTTAAATAATTCAATATTAATTGAAAAATATTTTTAAATTTAGTTAACTCTTTTTTATAATTATATTTCTTAAGGTTAAAAAAATGATGTGATTATAAAATACTATATAATGTGATTAAAGAGAGGTTTTTTGATAAATTTATTAGTAATTTAAGCTAATATAAGTGTATTTATAAAGAAGGTATAATTATATATAGATGTGACTATATAGAAGGTCAACTATTTTAAAATAAATATTAGTATAATAATTATTAAATATCATTTGAAATTTGTATTTTTTATTAAATTTAATTAAGATATTTTAATTTTATTTAATATAATAAAATAAATGATTTTATTAATTTCAAATATATATTTTAATATTAGTTATATTTACTTATTATATTAAATAATAAGTTATAAAAAATTTATTATAAAATATAAAGAAATTATATATTATTTTTATTAATTGATTTTAATATAAAATATTTAATTAATCTTATAAAGAAATTTATTTGGTTATTCTCAAATAATTTTCATAAAAACTAGTAATTTATATTGTTTAAAAAAAATGATTTTATAAATAAAATTACATAAAATATATAAAATTTAGTTATTATATAAAAAATAATAAGCCTATAAATATTTAATAATCCTTTTAATTGTTTTATCTACAAATTTATAAGTAATTATATTTAATCATTAAAATATGTTATTAAAAAATTAATATATTTATAATAAATTATATAATGTTTTCTAAGTAAAAATTAAAAAAAATGTAATTAACTAATGATTTTTTAAAAATAAATATATAAATTATTATTATTAAAAAATCAAAATTTTTTAAACTCATATATTTTGTTATTTATTAAAATCTCAAAAATATAATAATATTATTATTTAATAGAACTTAATAAAATGAATTCAATAAAATAAATGATATTTTAAATAATTATTACATAATAGATTATTTAAAATTAAAAATTTATATATGTTAATAATTATTAATTTTTAAAAATTTAAAAATATTACTATTTTAATATGACAAATTTAATAAACTTTATTTTATTTTTTTATAAATATTAGATGTCAAAATATTTTAAGTTTCTAAAATGTATTTAAATATTATAAAGAATAATAATTTTTTCAAAGTTTTCAATTTGTTTCTTTAATTATAAAAATTTTGACACCATTTTCTTTGATTTCATTCAAATATAAATTACTGCTAGTCTTGTTTCTTTTAAACCAAAAAGAACCGGGTGGAGATTTAATTCCCAAATATTTTAAAGTTTTTCTTCTTTTCATATAATCAAGGATCTTTTCGAGAATTCCACATTTCATATAAAAATTACAATTTAAAGTGATCAAATTAACTTTACAATTCATTAAAAAAATTTCCACATTTTCTGGGGTGATGTGATTATTATCATTAATACCTGCATGATTGAAAAGCTTTTCTTCTAACGTAAAACTATTTAATGATTCAGGTAAATGATTAGCTAACCTTTGCAAAATACAAACGTAATTATCATTAAATAATAAACTATCTTCAAGGTAAATAGTGAGACTTTCAATTTTCATATCTTTAAGATATTTATAAGGTGAGAAGGAAAAATGTTTACAACTAATTTTTAAAATTTTAAGGTTTAAACAATTAAAAGAAATTTGTCGGATAACAAAATGTGAAACTTTATGAAGTGATAATTTGTATAATGATTTACTAAAGTGTTGAATGAGAGGAAAATACATTGAGGAATAATCATCGTCATGTAAAATCAGCTCCCTTATGTTTAAAGAATTTCTAAACAAAATCCTATTGGCTTCTAAATTCCAATTTTTACAATTGATAATTTCTAATTTTTCTAGATTTTCACAAATTGCCATTGATCTTAAAACGTCTAAATTTACGTTATTAATAATATTTTCCAAATGCATAGAAGTGAGGGTATGTTTCTTCGATTTTATGATTTTTGAGATATAATTCAATAAATTATCATTCGGATATGATAAACTAAGGCACTTCAAATTTCTTTGATTCTTAATTAAAATTTCAATTAATCCTTGTAAGGCAGCATTATAAGAAAAATCAATTGTCGTGATTTTTAATTCTTTGATGTTATGGCAATCTTTCGTCACGAGTGAAATAAAATTATGAAATAATTCTTCCTTTGATTCATTCATATCTTGAAAAGTGAATATTATATGTAAGGAAGATAAATTTAAATAATTTGGCCTTATTACTTTAAACAATCGCACGTTAAAAAGTGAAGCATCAAGTAGATTTGATTGAATATGTAATTCTCTACAATTTTTCACCTTTCGTATAAATAAATGAAAAAGCGTTTCTTTTAACAATAATATTTTATCGTCATCCAATTGATTAAGGTGTTCATCATGATTCAAATTTGTTGCGCCTTCATTCAAAAAGTCGAGTTGGTAAATGAGCCAACATTCTATGATATAAGTTAAATCTGGAATTATTTCCAAATATTTTACATAATCAAAAAGAGAAATAGAATTTTCTGAAATTTCTATAGAATGGTTTTGTAAAAAACCTTTTTCTTCTTTATCAAGACAAGTGAGAAAAGTATTTATTAAGCAATAAGATCGCTTGAAATCGTTTACATCGGAAAATGGATTTTGATAAAGGATAGGTATAATAATTTTACATAAAAGTCGATTTACGAAAAGACAATTGTAAAGCGTTTCCACATCTTCAATATATTTAATAATATCATAAAAGCAATCATCGGGAAATGGAAGTAACGCCATCGAAAAAATTTTTATTTCAGAAAGAGCATGGGGTTTAAAAATGAATCGCCAAAACATGTAACACAATCTTGTTGCACGAATGATTTATGAATGAGCATTGTGAGACATTGCTAACATTTATATGGAATTAAAGGATTTCATTAAACATACTTTCTAACATATGAGAAAATACATCTTTTTAATTCCAATCTTCATAAATATTGAGTTCATCATATTTATCATTACCGCACTTGACATTAATAATTTCACGTTGACCTTTTTGTTTTTGAAATTTACCACGGTCTTCCAAACCTTCATTTCCTATAAGTTTCCCGATACTTTCCTATTAAAATGAAAAGTGAATTGTAACGAATGGGCAAAAAAGCCATAAATTAAGAAAAGAATTAACCTTGACTGATCCCGTAATTTGATCTTGAGTTCCACGAAAGTACGAAGGATTTTCAAACCTTCTTGAAGAGTCGGCACTTGGTGATACTTGTGTTGTGGTTGGCATTTCGGTGCTTAGATTTACATCCTTTTCTAATGTATATATCGTCCCATCATGAAATTTACATATTTTAATTATTTTTAACCCGATCGTATAAGGTTGATCTTACCTTTACTCTCCTTTCGTATTTGCGACATAATATTTTTTCCTGTCACAAAAAAATCGGGGAATAAATGCTTTTATATACAAACAATATTAAGTTATTACATAAATAAACTAGTTTATTGAAATCAACTGTCATAAAATGAATATTTAGAGATGGCGTTTATCACATGCCATGAATCATAACCAATAATTTCAGGATCGGTCGATTCTCTTTATCGTGGAAAAATGCTGCGGATTTGTAAACATCATTGGATGAGCTAATCTTTACCAGCGTACTGAACATCGATTTAAACTTGTTCTCGAATCTCATGATTAAGAAATTATTACGATCACGTGAAAGTAGGAAACTCCACTCCTGGAAATATTTTTTTCACATGTTGCAGATTAATACATGCACCAAAAAAAAAAAAAAAAAAAATTTACCCCAATTTTTTTCAATATTTGTCACATTTTAAAAGCCGATGATGATCATTGGCTAATCATTTTAGCTTCACCAATAAACTTAATTCCTAAACATAATAACAATAAATAGACGCATTCACGCAAAAAAATTTTCATCCTGATAAAATGCCTCTCATGAACAAGCTTGCAAACATTTCTTTAAATAATATTCATACCTGGGACATTATATAATGAAACCCTTTGACTAAGAATGAAGATTTCACCATAGTTGTAAACTGAGATATAAGAAAATGAAGTGGTGATATCACGACATTTTATCAAATTCTCAATAATATAATTAATGATTTGGGGTTTCTTGGCTTAAACATGCTCCTTTAACCAATATCAATGTGCAAGAATTCATTGCCCTCATTGAATTAAGAATTAATTTCCATCATTGTTAATTCTTATTTCTATAGATTAATATGAGAAAAGCATAAAAGATAATATTTGCACATTCCCTATTTTCGTCTCCTCAGGAGACTACACTACTAAGCTTGTGGGGGGTTATTAACAAGCATAGTGTAATTGATCTCGTTATATTATGGCGTGTTATACTGATGATATAGTTCGTTCATGTTGTAAGTTTTTAAACACATTTGTTTATTATTTTCAAAAATTGTGACCAAATAGCTTCATTTTATAATTTTTTTTCTGAGATTAGATTTATTGTTTGATGGTTGGTTTATAAGTTGTTGAAGTTTAAATATTTAAATTAGAAGTTTTATTAATAAACTAAAATTTTTAGACGTTGGATATACAATTTATCTTTGACTTTATTCATTCAAAATTTTTTATTTACAACTTTAACATTAATTTAAAATATAGTTCATGTTATTCTAACTATTAGATTATATTTTGGAAATAATTAAATTAATTAGAAAGCAAAGTATTTAGATAGATTCTTACTTGAACTTTCATTATCATCTTTCAATTTGAATTATTAATGTTCAATTTTTTTTTTTTTTTTTTATACTATCAATATTACAATAAAGCGTGAACATTACAAATATCAAATAAGTTTCCAAAAGTGGCGCAGTAATAAATCCTGATCCTTCTGGAAAATTGCATTGGAGGTTAAAATTAAATTAGAATATTGTCCATTCTTGCATCTAAAGAAGAATGAAAAAGAAAATATAAAAACCTCCAAATAACTCATCTAATTTTATCTATGAGTTAATATACGAAATAGAATTTTTATTTTTCTTTTTACCAATCTAAAGATGCTTGTTCTTTTTTGCCATCAATCATTGACCCGCGATATAAATCTTTAATTATTTTTCCTTCATTTATTGTTTTTTCAATTATCATCGGAACATGACAAGGAGTTACGCGGCCATACCATATGCCATGGCCATCTCGATATACAATGACATTTCCGGCAAATTGATGTCCTGATTATAAAAATAATGTTAGCGATTTCTTATATATATATATATATATATTTTTTTTTTAAAAAAAAAAAAAAAAGATAAATATTTCTTACCTCCAACATGACTCGTGAGATAAACCGGAACACCTTTATTTCCGGTAGAATCCAAATCCATCCGTTTTTCCTTTAAGACCTTTTCAAATTCCTTTTTCAAAATAGGTCCAGCAACCCCGCATCTTATATCACGACTTTTGTGTCCGCAAATTAATATTACGGATTTATAACTAATGTTTTCAACAGTAAATCCGGTTTTTAAAATTTCTTTATCATCCAACTTTTTATTTGATAAAAATCGATCATAAAATTCTTTAGCTTTTCCGGTTGTAACATTGCGCACCATTAAATTATCGGGGTATATTAAAATATCATTACCCCAAAATGAAAGCCATGTCAAAAAAGATAAAGTGGAATTCTGTCTATCGCTATTCGTAATTAATATTTTATTTTCCTCTTGTTTGACTTCTTTTTTTCGTTGTTTTTGCTGTTGATAATTATACAATTCCGCCGAAAGGTTCCCGGAATCCAATTCAATTATTTTATTCCAATTTGATTTTCCTGTTGAAATTATTACATGACGGATATGTGGCTGGACAGTATCATGTAGATTTGCCTCACGATTAATTTTTAAATTAGAAGGATAAGAAGGATGAATTGAACATGGAGATTGACAAGAGAAACATGGATTTTCTGATGAGATTTCTTCAATAGAAATTATAGGATCTTCCGATGATGAAGAAGAAATATTTGTAAAAGAATTTGTAGGGGTAGGACTTAAAGAAGAGTTGTTGCTCATTGATAAATTTGACATTTTTCTGTTGTAAGTGTTTGTAGAAGTATTTTCCACAGAAGACGGTGGTGATGTTGATACAGATTGCATAGCGCAATGAAAATTATTTATCATGTTATGAAAATTAGCAGGGATAAAACTTTTATATTTAGATCTTTGTAAATGTCTAAGAATCATGGCGAAAAAGAGAGAAAAAAAAAAAAAAAAAAAAAAATGTTATCCCTAAATATACAATATTTATACAAAAAGGCTTCGATATCAAAAAAAAGAAAAAATTTTACGTCAGTTTGCAGATAAAGGTCCGGAAATTACCGATCATATTGAAAATTAAGCCATTTCATGGAAAATTAAGAAAATAATCAAGCCATTTATTCTATTTAATGGACGAATTGCATTTTTTTTGTCATAGGGTCCCTTCACATGATTATTCACTGAACTCGATGATCCCCATGTGATGCGTTAAATTCCCCTATTTGAAAATTGAATTTGGAAGAGATGGTGGCGCAACTTTCCATACTTTCCAAAAAATTCATATTACGAATAAGAACTTGATTGAACAAGTCAAATCACGTTATCAAAGGTAAAAAATATTTAATAAATATTTACTCTCATGGAAAAACCTGATGTTTAAATTTAACGGCCGGCGTAGTATTTCTTTATTAAAGTAATCCTATAATTTAAGAAATATTGGTGACATCGGAACAAAAATTTTATTTTTGATCGACATATGGGGGTTTGTAACTTGATTGTAATATATAGTTACACAACATTTCAAAAATCTTTTTCCTAAATGTTTGTTGCGGGGTAAAACCCTAAACCCATTTTGGCAAAGTCAAAACTTTTCCGACAGTTTCGATAACAACTATTGTATCACAATCGTAGAATATCGTTTCTTCATTATTGCATGGGTTGCTTTGGATAAAAAAAAAAAAATCATTTTTTTTGGAAACATTTTATAAAATGAAGCGAAAAGGCTCCTGGGCGTTATTAAGAAACATGTAAAGATTGTACAAAAAATCGGACCAGCAATAATGGAAGAACCATTGCATTAAAGAAGAACCTTCAGATATTCGTGAATAATTAAATATAATAGAGATACAAATACTGTCTATAGAATAATGGATGTCTTTTTAGGTCCTGTTAAATTACCAGAAAGGAATGACCGCGCACTTGTAAAAGCTTTTACATGTGCAGGTATATCTTGGCGAATTATTGAACATCCATTTTTTAGGTATCTTTTAAAAAAAACTTAATTCTGCTTATGAACCACCAACCCGCGAACACATCTTGCTGGACATTAATTGGAGAAAGAAATGTTAATTGATAATAATAAAATCAATAGAGATTTATAACGGCAAGAAAACTTAACTTTATGTAAAAGCTTTAGATAGATGGAATAGAGGTAATTATTACACCTGACAAAAAAATAATATTTAAATCCGGTTAGATTTATCAAATGTAATGATCGATTTTCACAAAAATTCTCAGCTATTGACAAGTGATAATGGCCCTAATATTAAATTAGCTAGGCAAAGTTTTATTTATAATCATGTAATTTAATTGCACAAAGATATATTGATAATTTAATTTGCTGATCAAATGATCCTTCATTGTAATTGGTTATCTATATATGTTAAGTATATATTATTTTTTTATTTTTTTATTTTAAATGTGAAATTATAATTACATATAATATTAAAGAATGTAATTTAAAACTTATTCAAAAATCTAATAGATAACTACAAGTATAATTTGCTTAGAATATATAAATGAGGTAATTATTTATTATTAATTTTAAAAACTATAATATTTATTATTTAATTAATATATTATATATATTATTTTAGATATCCAATTAATATTTTGAATTATTAACTAATGAGAAGAATATATATAATATTACACAATATAGATTTTTTGCAAATTTAAAGTTTTATTATTTGTTTTATAATTATTAATTAAAGAAATTTTATTAATTAAAGCATGTTCTATTAGGAGATTATTATTAAGAATAATCAAAAATAAGATTGTTTTAATATAAAAATTCATAATTAATTTATTTTATTATAAATAAATGTAAATTTTAAAAATAAATATAATTTATATATATTAAAAAATTGTAATAAAAACTAAAAAATTTATATTTGTTAATATTCTTTGTTTTTTATAATACTTAATATTATTAATGATTAATTGATTAACATTAATAAAAAAGAAAAAATACAATTAAATATAAAAACTTTAATTAATAAATAAATTATGCATTTATTATATTTATTATAATAATAATACTTAAAAAACTTTTTTATTATATAAAATATATAACAAAAGTATCAGTAATTAAATTATGAATAAATCTATTTGTAACAATATGTTATACATTTTTATTTGTAACAACTTCGAAAAAAATCACGTGATATAATACGTTACGTTATATCAACTGTATCTGTTATTGTTATTGTTATATGATGCAGCGTGATGCAGTTTATATCATGTGATGCAGATTTATATATTACAAAAACTGCAATACATTATTAATGCTTGTGTAATAGATATTTCTTGGATAAAGTAAAATTTTTTTGCTTTTTGTGAAAAAATTTGTATTGTATCATATAAAGATACTTACCCTAGAGGTTAGACGGTAATGACGACGGTAACTAAAAAAAGAATTAAGACAGTTATATAAAAGCAAGGTGTAAAGATCTTACCTCTGGAATCAGAATTGCAGTAATCAAATCCCAATAGAATTGCCATTCTTCACTTTTTTGCATTGCGGTCATTTTTTGCTCAAACTTCCAATATAGGAAGCTTTCTCGTTTCACTTTTTTTGTGTTATAGTCATTTTTTTGTGTATTGTCATCAAACCACAAATAGAAATTTTCTCGCTTCACTTTTTTTTGCGTTGCGGCATTTTTTGCTTAAACTTCTGATAGAAAGCTTTCTCGCTTTGCCTTTCTTTGCATTGTAGTCACTTTTTTGGGTTGTAGTCATTTTTTGCATAGCACTTTCTTACTTCACTTACAAAAAACAATTATTATTAAGATGAATATGTCTAATGAATTGCATACTCAAGAATCTGTTCAAAATAATACAACATCTCTTAACCCAGAAGATGAAGGTGAGATTATTAGTTTTTTTCGTTTTGT